ACCCGCTAATGTCCGCACCCCCAAAACTAAAGAATTTCTTACTTTAAAATATCATTTTTTAACATCGCCTTTTTCCTTTTAGTCAATAACATTAATCATATTCAGTCATAACATCGGCGCCAGCAATCCACTCGCGATAATAAATGAAGGCAGTCCAAACAGGTTTTCACCATACTGGCTCCCAGGAAATACTGTTTTGTAATATAATTACTCTCCCCTCCTTCCTCTTTGGAGCATTCGCACATTTCAAGCTTTCTCTCTTCATTCATAGTATCATTTGGAATTTGGTAGTTAGCAAGTAGCGTGCTTGAAATGGGAAAATACAGCAGCTATACAGCGGGTTAAACTGAAAGTCGTAGAATTTGCGCAGGAAAATGGAAAAAGAGCAGCAGCAAGAGTATATTAGGTAGACGAAATGTGTATGCGCAACTGGAGCAAACAGCGTCATCATCTGGTGGCAACGAACAAAACAAGACGTGCGTTTCGTGGTTCGAAATGTAAGTTTTCGAACTTACAAAAAAAAAAGTAGTTGCGTATGTTCGTGATATGCGTGCTCAAGGGTTCGCAGTAACACGGGAAATGCGCCAAATAAAAGTGCTTGCTGCGGCACGAGAAGAAGAAATTTCTACATCGCAGTTCAAGGCGAGTGAAGGCTGGTTATGGCGAATGATGAAACGAAATGGATTTTCATACAGTGCGTCAGAATAGATTTAAAAAAAAAATAATGTGAGCAAGATATTAAAAGAACCAACGTTTATTTAATTTTTGTAAAAGTAAATATTAAAATTGCAAATGTTGATTAATATTGTGCCTCTATATTGTGCTCCTGTGCGAACTAATACGCGCCGAAAGTTGATAACGTAAACGAGGTAATTTATATCATGTGGATGGGAGAAAGAGAGTTTGTAAATTTTAGGTAGCTATTAGACAACTTTAAATTTGATACTTTTATTACTTATGCATTTTCTTCCACTTAAAACTTAACTTGGCTGTTTGAAATGAAATTTACACACAAAGTTACTCACGAGTAAAAGTGCGACATTTGAATGAACCGTGTAATGTGATGTAATTTTAGTAAAAAAGTGCGGACATTACGTTAGCGTATAACGGTAATAAAGTATACTTCAAGTATACTTAAAAATATATTTTTACATTTTATTAATAATACTTCGAAATGATGTGCATTTACATGATATGAAGGTTACATGATACATATTTTAGTTATGATTTCTCAAAACTATAATTATCCTGCTGACTAGCTGGTCAGAATTTCAAGAAATTTCGTCTTATTATATAAACAAAACCTATATCTATATAAAATGCCCACTTATTATGCTTCTCGCTTAAAAATTTTAGAAATTATATTTCATTTTATGTTAAAAATAAAGTCAATCTTAGTACCGCAAATATATTTTTAAAAAGGTTATTTTCTTTCAAATATAAAAATAGATCATTTTAATTATTTATATTCTTCTTATAATTTGAAAAAAAATTCGATTTAAAAATAGTGATTCATTTATCTATACTGTTGCTCGCAGTTCATGTTAAGAGTTTTAGGTCGATGACCTATTTTATCTTGATATTTAAAATAAATATAATTTATACGATATTGAAATAAGCATACAAAATATTATATAAGACATAAGACAAGATGCCTTCAGAAGACAGCTATCAGTGACTCAAACAAAAGAAAACGATCTCGATATGCCACAAAATTATTTTCTAGGCTGTTTTGCATGCTAGTGGTCAGTTTGAGAAAAAGAAAGAAAATATGTTTTGCAGTAAAATCTAGTGATTACTTTCTGTGCTTGACAATATACATGTAAAACTACTGAAACACATACTCGGACGCAGTGGTGAGCTTTAGAGAGTTCGCGGATTTTCGGGGAAGCCATTTATAAAATTTATATTTAATTTGCAAGCCATTGTTTTTGTTTGTTTGCTTGTTTACTTGCTTCAAGAAAAAAAGATGTGTCGCATGTTATAACCACACTTTGAAAAAAAAATTAAATCGTATTAGAGCATGACAAAATTAACTTTTCTATAAACTTTTTTTCCCCCTTTTTCCTAATGCAGCTGGCAATTTTGAGACAAATATCCTTATGCCATACAGAGATCCAAAAACTATAAAACATACAATAATAATACAATAAAATAATACAATAATTTACACAGAGAAGTCTGAAATGCAAAGAAGAGTTACACAAAAAGAAAAATGTAATCGATAAAAGTTAACAATAAAAATTAACAATAAATTAAAGTTAACAATAAAGTAAGTTAAAAATAAAGTTATCAATAAATCGATAAAATTAAAAACAAGATGAAGTCTTCAATCAATTTAAAAGGTCTCTAGCCTCCCAATGTCTGGAATAAACACTGTTCTGAGACAGCGCTGAGCAGACGAGAAGATGCCCAGAGATAGATATAAAAGTGGTAGTGTATGTTCTAAATTACGAGTAGTCACCACTGAAAAAAGCTTGTTTTGGTTGTTACGAAACTATCGATAGTAGTGGAAATTGTCTCACTGAATTATTTCTTCAAACATAATCTGACATTTGGGATATCTCTTGCAAATTTTCACTACTAGTCATATGATAATAGAAGTAATATGAAGAGAAAAAAAAAGAGAGAGAGAGATACAAGTGGATGGAGTTGAATCTTCAGTAATTGAACTTAGTTTCTTTGGTGCGGTTCAGTTTGTTTACTTTATTTCTGCATATGTGAAGCGCTGGGACATTTTGACTTGACTGCGCTGGGACATTTTGACTTGACTGCGCTGGGACATTTGAAGTGCATATGACGCTGAAATGTCTCTCTGAAACCAGACGGGAGGCGAGAATTGAAAAAGTGTTAAAGCTCTTAAGATCTTAAGAACGAACTTAAGAACATAATATATGCCTTAGCTGCGAGAAAATTTTGAAGATCTTACCTCTTTCAATAAGACATCTAGTCTGCTAAAAGTGATCACAATGTGCTTTGTGATCTCGTATAATACTATCTTATCATTAAAGTTAACAAAGAGATTCAATAGAAAGGCATACAGTTTAATTAGATACTATAGCAAAACTTATCAATGCAACACTACGTGTTACTGAAGAGTTCTTTAGGGAATGTTGCACAATTTAATGACACTAAATGTTGAATTATAAAAAAGCATTTTTCTTATGAAAACAGAAATGAACCTATTTGAGGAGAAAAGATAATTTGTAATAGGCACCCTATTTTTGCTTCTAACAGAAAGATTTGAGTAGTTTAGGCATTGCTTTGATGTTAGAGTTATTCGTTACATTAAGAGTTTTCTAAAAAATAAAGAAGATCTGAACAGCAGGTGTAAGAAGCATGGAGATGCTATAAGTGACCCGAAATAAGACTCAGAAGGTACAATTGTCTTAGATCTTACTGCTGAGATAACAGTTCTTACTCCCCCCCCTCAATGTTACCACCAACTGCTAACAGTTGTTTGACGTTACTTAAGAAATATTTTGAAGACATTTTCCGATGTGTCACGTTTACACTGGCAATTTGTTTGTCCACGTCGATGTCAGTAGCCTCAGCGGAACGCAGCTAAAGCTGATAAAAAAATTATCTATTATCTTTGGTGGACGATGAACAATTAAGACGTCTCTCCATAATACCTGTAAGAAGGCAGATTGTCTGTTCATTGAGTACTGCCAAGTTATAATGCTTGTTGCTCAAAAAGCACAAATGTGAAGATTTAAAAAAATGTAGATAAAAGTTACCTAAAAGGGAAAGATGTCGGAAAAGAAAAAAATAATATTATGTGATTTCATATAGCAAAATTATAAGGTTAAAAGGCAAATTATATGAAAAGTGATAAAAATTAAGTTTAAAAATAAATCAAAGTACTTAATGTGTACAACATCGTAATGCAAGCAAAAACGGATTAGAAGTGCATTGCAAAATATAGCATATTGAGGTAAGCTTATTTTTTATATATTTAAAAATTTTCCCTGGAGAAATTTGAATGTTCTACAAATCACTTTTCACCTTATCACTTTATTTTACAAAAAATAATAAGCACTTTGCTAACATTATGTAAGTGTTACATTACAATTTTTAGTACATTTGCATCTGTTTGACTATTCAAAACTGCATTACTTCGAACAAATATACACAGACAAAATATACTGCACACGTAATTAAATTTTTTGCTTTCGAAATAAAATTATCAGTGATAATAAATTATGTAAATGTCTAACCATGCCACAGAAAGCATAATTTTAAAAGGGACCCTATTAGAGAGCTCCACTCTCAGAACTTGCTGGGGGAACCTCGAAATTTCTTAAACTGGCTAAAGAAAACTTCAAATTCCAAATGCAGTTTATCTGGTAACATACGAGTATATTCAGTAATGGATATATATCACATTAAACATTACTGATTTATGGTTTGGTTTGGTTTGGTTTATTCGATTACGGCAAAGCACTCGACAGGAATCTGCTTAAGGTGGGGGATGTGTTCGTGGAGCATTTTCTAAGGAAAATTGGCTCGTATGCGATTTATGGAATGATTCATTTGAATAATTTATCTATCAAGGGTGAGCGAAGTGAAGTAAAACACTGCTTTTCTGAGGTGGGGAGGTAAGCGTATATGATGGTGTAGGTGTATGTAAATTTGTAAGATAGTAACAAATGCAAATCATTCATCACAGAAACTATCAAAACCAAATTGTTTGAGAACCTTAAATCTAAATAATATTCTTACTTTACTTGCACATAAAGAACATTTTAGAAAGCAACTTGTGTAGTTTGATTTTAAAGTATCAGTTCAGGATGGCATTATCAATTCTTTAAATCTCATTCTTGATCTTGTGCTTTCCTCGTATATAATCTATAATAAGAAGCTACGGTCACGTAATTTCTCGAAATAACTGATTCTGGTCTACTTTTGAAATTTAGGAATAAATTTCGGGCTAGAACCATATTTTTACATTTTTTAATAATAATCGCAAAGTATCAATTCTTAATTTTAATTTTCAGTAATAAATTTCATCATCACATTATCAGCGAAGATGGGGTCCAGATATTATGAAATCATGAAAACGAAGCCTCATTTACCTTTTCGTATGGGCTACATCACAGAAGATATGATAGGAAAAGCTCGAAAAGAACTCGGAGAAACAGAGGAAGTTAAACGCAATGCCCTTATTGAAATGAGGAAGCTAATCCAAGGTAAGCGAAGTTTTCACTAACTTAGAAAAAGCTAAACATATAATGTATTTAAATAGTCAGTTTTCAACTATGCGATGTAAATACAGTAAAATAAGAAATATCCGGATTAACTGGAACAACAGTAAATTCGGATATTAAAAAAAAATCTACATAAGTAAATAATTCTGCTACTTACTTTATTCTTAAGAAATGTATTCATCTAACGATACTTCATTCAGAATGACATCTCAAAATGTTATCGATATCATCACCCTGACAGCGATCAACTTACACACAAACACAGATTTAAACATTCAAACTTTATTTGGTCACTCTCAGTGGGTTACAATTACCTGTATATAGCAATAATTTGCAATAAAATTTGATTACTTCTTGATTTTGTGTTTAGTATCTCAGAAGCCTGTTTTGAAATTTACGGTTATCAAAAATCAAATTCTTTCAAAGAAGGCAATACGTTCCACCCCGCGCAACTAGTCATTTTAAAGGGGGCTTACCAGTTAAAATTATTAAGCATAATGATTTTCCCTTTACATTTCCCATAAAATGTGCTCAACGTTAATACATTTCAACACTATTTTAACACTTTCTTTCCTGCGGATGGCTGAAGCTCCTGCCAAAAAATATATAGTTCTAGGGTTCCCTGAGTCAACATAATTTCAAAACTATTTATTCATATAAATTAATTTAAAGTTTATTACTTTTAAATCGCTTAACTTTTTAAGTTTTTATAATTTAAAAGATAAATTTACTGCATGTCGAATGGCAGTACTCCCTGAAACTGACAGCGTCGAAATTTAAGTCCTTATATTTTTTGGTCGGGATCGCTTGTTAGGCTTGCTAGTTACATGTATGCTTTTATAGCGTAACGTAACATAAGGCTACCCAAAATTAAAGGCATCGTTATAGATGTATCTAATGTCAAAAAATTAATCATGACTTTCAAATCATGATATTTTGATGTCAAAAACGTTTATAGGTTTTTAGTTCACATTTCGTTACATAACATTACTCTGATATGTTATTTATTATTTGGGCAACAACTGTTGCGTTTTCGAACATATCATTTTTCATTGATCAGCTACATGTCTTGGCAAACTGACAGTTCTCAAAAATAATGCGATTCGATGATCCATAAGATCTTTTATTTCTCTTCGAAATTAAAACACGGCATTACTAAAACTAATACAAAGATTTAAAAACATTACTTTTCTAAATTATTTACTTTATTTTATTTTTAAAATACTACCTTAAATTGAGTTTACTTTCTCTCCATCTAATTCACATGACTTATAAAGCACTAATTAATATTTTTATAAGCTCAATGAAATTATTATTATTATTAATAAAAGTGTTTTCTAATACTATATATTATGAGCAACCTAATGATTTTTCTATTTTGCGAACAATATAAAACATTTTATCAGAATGATTACATTATAAATGCTTTTAATAAATGTTTAGTGTTAAACTCTGTAAGATCAATTAATCCATAAAATCGAATAAAATCTGTAACATCATTTTTTTTATATTACAGCGGAACCCAAATTTGTTTGCCTAACAGATGATGCCTATCTACTGCAATACCTCAGGGCACGAAAGTTCAACGTCAAAAAAGCATTCAGTGTGTTACAAAATACATTTCTAACAAAAAAGGATTACCCTGAAATCTACGATGAATTCGACATTAGGATAGTAAGAAAAATTTTTCAAACTTTAGGCATCACTTGTTTCCCATACAGAGATGAACAAGGATGTCCAGTTATGCTTGTACGATGGGGTAAGATAACTATTTTTTTAGCTTTAGTGCATTTTTATTCAGTTATGTGGGAAGTTTATATATTTATATATGCATTTGAACTAGAAGTAAATGAATAATCTACCTCTTAAGATCAGGTTACAAATAAGAAAATGATGTTAGACAGTATTCTCGCAAAGTAAGCAGAGGTAGAAACTTTTTTTGGCTTGTAACTAAATTTAAACAAAGATATTGAATTAATAAATAATGTAACGAAAATTAATTGCTCTGAGACCGGAGTTCTTCAGGGGAATGGCCGAAATCAGCAACAATTAATCTTTGTTACGTTATGAAAACCCAAAAATGTTTCGCTAATTTGTAAGTGGTTTCAATGAAATTTTGTTAGATGCATTTAATAATTAATTTTCTTTGAAAACACTCGCAAACCCATTCCCTACGTTTCTGGATATCAATACAGGTTAGAATATAATTATAATCAATAAGCTAAATAAGAAAAAGAATTCAGCTATTCCAAGACCAGCAGATTCCTAGACCTAAAAAGTAACCAGATCTCATCTCAAAACTTAGTGCTCCAAGTCCAAGATTTACAGGACATGCAACCTATGATTTCCTGCTTTTTACGCGTAGAGTCTGAGCCTTATGTTAATTAAATTACTAGAATTACTCACGTTCGTCATGGAAAGGTGTAGCTAAAACTCTTCAAATTATTAGGAAACCAAAGTTTTACCGCCCTAACAAAATTATACCGCTCTTGGCAATATGATGATTAGCATAGCTGCATGCATCCGTTTTATTTGCCCAAGGTCTGAATTTCGGACAAGACCTTAAACTGTGGCTCAGTGTCTTTCGGAGAAAGATGTTCATTTAAAATCTGGTGAACCTATTAAAAGCCTAGTTCTAGGGAAAGAGGAATACAAGATACACAGATTTAATTCCCTGCTGCTGATCAAAATTATAATAGAATTTCGGAAAATAGCTCTATTTTTTTTTTTTTTTTTTTTTTTTTTTTTTTTGATTAAATAATCTTATCCAATCCAAGAAAATTATTTAAATGCATATTATTTACTGACTGAAATACCTTTCTGAAAAAAGTACAAATGATTGCTACTTGAAAAAATAAAGGATTATACGAGGAACAGGGAATAGTTAATAGTTTAAGTAACCTCAGCTCTTAAGTTAAAGGTAGCAACTTTGCTGCTTAACTAATCTTAAAGAAGTATGTTCACCTTATGGTACACCTCACTAGAAATTACCTCCTTATTATCTGCCTTGAACATAGTCAATACATATGACCGCATATTTAAAATTCACCAAACTTTATTTGTTCAGTATCGATAGGTTATAACGTACATTGATAGGTTACAATTAAAGCGAGACTATTCAACTAAAAGCATATTACTTGCCAGCAATTATTTTTTAACACCTTAGACAACCAGCCTAGAAATTTGCAATCATCAAAATCAAATTCTCAGAACAAATACCTGTTTTATGACTCAGGTCATCATTATAAAGGAGTATTTACCAACGTCTAGCCGCAATGGAAATTGATGTGGCTGACGACAAGCAACGACGCAAAAAAACAACAACGGATGGGGCCATTGATAAATAGTAACTAATCCCAAACAGATCTGCACTAGATCTTGCTAACAGCAAGACATTTCGGCGATTAGCAACTGCAGTAAACTTTTAAATTCTAGCCGCCAAAACGGTAAGCCAACTGCGATACCAAAGGGCCCGGCTTCGAATCCCGGAAAAAGCATGGATGTAAATTATCTGTCCTCTTATAGGAGGTAACGGTGACCGCCTATTAGGTGCTTCCATAATAAAATGACCACCACTTCTGGCCTTAGTAGTGGCGAAAGCCTAAAAATGGCTAGTGCCCGCCATTAAAAAAAAGGGGCAGATTAAGCTCTCTTCAGAGCACTTTAATTTCTCTAAACGTCTGGTCCGAATGAATACATACGACGTGAATCAAAGAGAAAATAGGTTAGCACTTAAATTAAGCTTAACTGCTAGTTAAACTTAAATGTATTATCGTAAACATTTATGGCAACTCTTGTAATATTTAGCACGCAGAAAAGTAAAAGTGCATTTATTCCTGAAATACTGTGCTTTATTTATATTGCCTCAGTAAAAAATCAATATTTACATGAAATTTCTCCAAAAAGGAAAATGGGACCCAGAAGAATTTACAATACAGCAGGTTTTTATTGGCCTGACGGTAGCCATTCTCTTCTGCATTGATGATCCTGCGACTCAGATATGCGGAGTTCACATCATCCTTGATGTCCAAGGGTCAAAAGTAAAGCATCTTCGTTATCTTACACCCAGATACCTACATCTCTTTTCCAGAGCTTTGAGGGTACGTATCCTTTTCTCACCTCTTCGAATATTTCTTTACTCTGTGTTCTGATGCTTTTATGTTTAATTTATTACAATAACGTTTCCAGCATAAACTGATATTGCAATATTGTTATTATGTTTGATAAAAAAAAAGTCATCATGAAATTTGTCCATTATAGAATCAAAATTTCTGTAGATAAATTCGTCTCAAAATCTCCAAAAAATTGATACGCCGTGAAACTTAGAAATGCAAAAAATAAGTTTAAAAAAAAAATAAAAATTCGATAGAGCAAAAAACTGATTTTTGATCGAATAAAGAGTAACTCGAACGTCTGCAAAAGTGCACGTTTTGTATTTTGCAGACGTGCTAATCTGACAACAAACTGCACAATTTTTAATGCTTTTAAAAAAATTGCAAAATTAATTTTAAAAAATTGCTTTTGAGTGTGAAAATTCGTAAAAATTGACAGATATTGCTCTTTCCTGAATAGAGATGCCCTTTCTCCTATCAGACTGTATGTAATTTTAGAATGATTTTTATGCAGTAGAATCAATGCTGATGTTAATATTAATCGCATTAATATCTAAATAATGTGAACTACAATAATTTGTTTGGAAGGTGTTGAGTAATTGCCTGGAATGAGAGAAATTGTACACTGAGGATAATAACAGTCCTGTTGACTTTTCATCTACATATACATATGTAAGAAACATAAAGAATATATAAAAAATAAATTATAATTTAAATTAGCAGCGTAAATTAATTTCCCTTCTCTATTCTAAAAATAGTAATCTCTCTTTGCATCATTTTGATATTAATCCAGGTCACATGGCTTTTACATAATTCTGATGATGTAAATGGAAATAAAACTCAAATAGCCAATAATAATTTTACATCAATATTAATTATCCAATCAAAATCCACTGAGAATCAAAAATAACTTAGTCGGAAATAAGATTTCATCCTGAACATAACGCACTCGATTGCTACTCTTCGGCCTAGTTGGACTGCTGTCTCTTGCTTCATTCTTACTGCAAAGTTATCAAAAATGTTAAGATTTTGAAATAGGCACAAATAATGTACTAAGTTGTTTGTGGCCGAAACATGCTCACCGAAGTAAAATGAAGATTTAATGTGCCTCGGCTGCCAGCTTCTTATTCATTGTGCATCGGCATTTCAGCACTTTACGCCATCAAAATTCTTGATCTTCATTACGAAATCAGTTCTGCATTCTACACCACCATCACTGCAAAGTCTTTTTTTAATTACATATATATATATATATATGTAAGATATAAAATATAAGATATAAAATATGAAAGAAAATTATTAACTTTAATTTCGCAATAGTCGTTTTTTAATTACCGCTTTTAATTTGGCTATCTCTCCTTTCTGTCCTAAAAACAGAAATTGTTAATAATATTGCTTATAATAACTTTCTTGACTGCATCTTTCCAAATTAATCCGTTTAATACTTTCTTATGAAACCATGTTGCAGTGCAGACGGCTCTCATCCAATCAGATTAAAGCAGGGATGGGCAAACGTTTTCGGTCACGGGCCAAAAGTTGAAAAAAAAAAAAAAAGTTTGGCGGGCCAAGATCAATTTTTCTAAAATTTTAAAAACAATATACAAGTATTAAAATTTAAATATGTTAATGAGATGAACAAAATTGCGATTTCATTTTTAAAAGTTCCTTATATTGAGGTTCGAAGTGAGATGTACAGATTCTAAGGAACGAGGCTAAATGCTCATCTGTCAGTCTACTTCTGAAATAATTCTTTCTAGGGTTGATGATTGAAAACACTTATTCACATATTTAAGATGAAGCAAACATAGCACTGATTTTTTGGGCGTGAGATATTAAATTTGAGAAACTTACTTTCCATAATGATTTGTAAAACTCTGAATTTCGCATATGTAGAAACAACTGCTTGAGATGATTTTTTAGATTGCAACTCAATTCATTCAAGCTGCACATCTGACCTCACTGCTTCACAATTTTAGTTGAAAGGTATGGTAAAAATATCTAATTCTGTTTGAATGGCACTGAAATCTTGAAATCTGCGTTCGAACTCAAAATGCAGTTTTTTCAAGCAATCTTCATAATTCTTAAGCTTCTTTTCATCTACTGAGGGTATTGAATTTAACCTCGAGAAATGAGAGAAGTCGTTTTTAGCTAGCTATCCAACAAACAGATTAAGTTTTAGTTTAATTGCTTTGAAATGAGCCCAGCTATCGTCGATAAATTCAAGCTGCTCATATGACAAAGAAGATCTGTGAAAAATGCAAAGTCCGAAAGCCATTCTGTATCTCCTAACATTTCGCATTCCGACCACTATTTCTCATGGAAAAACTACACAGTGTCGTCTTTCAGCTACCAAACTCGCTCTAAAACACATCCTGCACTAAGCCATCTTACTTTCGTGTAATACAGAGTATTCAGACTGCACTGACTGAAGAAAATCTCGAAATTTACTGTGAGTCCACGAGATCGAATAGTGTTTACAAGCTTCACGACTGCATCAAGCACGGGTTTCATATTCAATGCAGATTTACACAGAGCATCTTGATGTATAACACAATGTAGAAAAACAGCATTGTTCCCGGGATAGTCTTGATAAAAGAACCTAAGAAATCCAGATGTTTTTCCTATCATATCTGGTGCCCCATCGGTCGTAATATTACATATATTTGTAATAGACACTTTCAAAGTTAAAAGCCCTTCCTGAAATTCACGAAAAATATCACATCTCGCCAATCTTTGACTTAATTGTGATGTCAAATTTTTATCAGTTTCTTCGATTCTAAAAGTTACAGTTTTTCGAGATATTCTTACATTCTCAACATAACTTTTCTTGCCTGGACATGAAACATCATAAACTTGGAGCATGCATTGTTTAACGAACTTTGCATCACTGGCAGCTTTATTATTTTTAGCAATATTGTATGCTACAATGTAACTTGCATGTGTAGCTGCTTCTTGGTTACTGTTTACCTTGTTGAAAAAAATTTGTGGGCTTGATAAGTTTTCGCAGTCTGCCACGTGTGAGGTCTTATTCACCTATATTCGATTCCCATATGCCTGCTCCTCGAGAAAGAGATAACGCTTGTTGACGCCAATCTACAGCTATAACTAACAAAGAACTTCCGCTTTTAGCACTTTACCGATTTAAGTTGTCTGTGCTTCTTGCCATGTCTGTCGATTTATGTTTTGCAGAACAAAAATACAGAAAATGAAAAGATCATCAGTCCTTTGAAAAAAATGAAGAAAAAATAATATTTAAACAAAGTAGAAAAGGAGATGGTTATATAATATACAAATATATATTTCTTTTAATTTGCCTCGGGTCGACAAATTAAAATTACATCCTCGGATTGAACCTTCCGGCAGGCCGCAGTTTGCCGATCCCTGGATTAAAGAGAAACTTTTTATTCTATATCTCGTGCTTTGCCGATCGCGCACCCCTTTTTTCATGCTTCGCCTTGCTGCTGCTAGACGCGCATGATTTGTCGCACTGCTTTGTCCGTTGTTTAAAGAAATATAAATATTGTGGATATAAAATTGTAGGCTGCATAGCACACCCATATTGCTGATGTGAGAACCTGCTTATGCTTATTAAGGCTTGCTTTACTACGAAATATAACTACGTTTAATTCGCCAAGTCCGTCCGTAGGTTCATCAGACCACTTACGCATAAAAAATTCCTCAAGTATTTGCGACATATATCTACCTATATATATATACATATGATTCGTATGAAAGCAACCTCTTATCTAATCGTCTTGTACTGATAATTAGTTGGCAGTTTTTTACATAACCAAACGCAATAAAAAATTATACGGAAATAATTAATCTTTTTTAGAAAAATAGCTTAAAATCACTATGGATAAAGGGCATTGAATATGAATGCTACTGATAAAAGATAAGAGATGATACAATGGATAGTGAATATAACAATTCTCCCTCTCATGATAAAAAACGCAAATGAGAAATAAAATAATAAATGTATCACTTAAGCTTTGTTTGTTCCGGATATAAAATTATTTTAGTGAAAACAATTAAAAAATGCACGTAAAACCTTTGAAAAAAAATTAGCAGAACACCAAGAAATTAATTATAAGTTACATCAAAAATAATAATGCAATCTATAATCTTAAAAAGGAATTTTAAATAAATACAATATTTTTTCGTAGAAGAAAGTTGTGATAGAATTAAGGAGATCGTTCTTCTAATAATCTAAAATAAATATTAATACGATTTCATAATTTATAAATATATATTTAAGTGGAAATGAATAAGTAAAAAAACAAATAAATAAATTTAAATTATAAGCTTTTCAAAAGAAGTTAATACTTATTCAAGGTCTAATTGCTATAGCTTATTAAGGCAAACTCTAGCGCAGAAAATGGGAAATATTTATGAGCATGAATTTATCTATAAAATGATTGTTATCGCCCACATTCAGATAATTTTAAAACTTTTATTTATCATCTATTATAAAACTATTTATCTTACATTATTTTAAAGAAATCAAGTATTTTAAAAAACTATCAATACAATTTTGATGAACTAAATCAAATTAAAAATGCATTAGCAGAATTACTTTGAAAATGTACACATGTTAACAAGTTTACAATCAAATAAACTTCTTACCATTAAGTAAATCAAAGTTTATAATCAAATAAACTCTTCTATCATTAAGTAAATCAAAGAAATATTTTACTAAATCAATAATCCGATCCTCTTCATACTGATCGTAGTCAAAGTTCACATAACTGGGCAGACGTTGCAAAACTTTAATCCACACTGGCACCAGAGAATCTCAAAGGCCAGTTGAGTAAGTTATGAGACTTACCGTCTATTATCTCACTAAAATATGTGATTTTTTTAAATTATAGTTTATTTAATTATAAATTTCATCAAAATTTGAAATTCTTCCAATATTTCTTATATAATCCATTTTGCATTTCTCATATCCATCCCGTCCTCGATGTACATTTCGGACACATATTGTTGAGCTTCCGTTTCACATTTTTTCATTAGTTTAAAATATGATTAATAAACTTTGCAGACCCTTAATAATTTCTAAGTAAAAGGGTTGTTTTCGTTTTACCTTGACACTGGGGTTTTCGACAACTTAGGACAGTTCACATAGTCGGCATTTTACCGTAAAGAACCATAATTTAAACAACGGCCTTTAACTAAAACAAATCGAAAAGATATTTTATTAGTTTCGATTTAAAAATCATTGTTTTCAGATCTGGTCTTTCCTCGAGTTATCATCTAATGTTAAAAAGAATGTAGACGTAAAGGGCCATTACCACTGCGGTTTATCCAAGTAAACGGAATTCGTTCCATGATTCGACTAGTTCCGCTGTACGTAAAGTTTTCATTTTGTACCTCGCTCTGCTGTGAGGAGAAACTGGTTTTGAAGCTGCGTCTGTTGCGGCAGATGTGTTCGACAGCTCAAATAAACCCGAGTAAACAGCCCTTTAAGCGATTTATTGCTAAGTATCACAGAAACATGAGAAGGGTATAAAAGTATTTAAAACTAAATAAGTTGAACAAAAGGCACTCCTAGTGCTTAACTCTACAAACGTTTATTACTAGAAACTTAAAAGCAGTAGTTAAAAGTTCAAATTAAAATAAACTAATAACAAAAGTCTACACAGAGCAATTTAACCCGAAGTTGGCTTAGAATTTCACTAGCGTGAAGTTCCACTATCGGCAACTGTAATGCAAAGCCAAAGACTGGAACTGTTATCTAAAGTAGCTTAACCTACCACCGTGGCCACGACTGGCAGAACACGCTCTGTGTTAACAATCTTGAAACCTCACTTAAATACACACGAACTAATTCGCGTACTGGCGGGAAAACGAGAAGAAATGAGAGTAGAGATTCAAAATATCAGATAACTGGTTATTCAAATTCAAGGAACCTCCCAACTTCCACGACTAGTGCCAGTTAGATTCGGCACCCACTAAATGTGTAACTCGTGCTAACGCTAATTATATACGGCATCCACTAAATGAATCGCATAGACTAGCGACAACTGCAGCAAAGATATGCGAACTGGACGCCATGTATTTAACTAATACACAAGGAAAAGATTTTGACACGGATATAGTGCACTTATTTTACATCATTTTTGAGTATCATAGTTAATCGATAAGAATTAAGATTATTTTATGATTCTAACGTGAAACTGTTGTAATTATTTATTGGAAAAAATGTAATTTTGATTGCAATTAACTTGATTCAATTTATAGACTTATCTATTGGTAAGTCAATAAATTGAAAATTTGTCACTTGTTTTTTTTTCCCCTAAAAGACATCATCAAATATTTATTATTCATGTTATTTTGTGTTTTTCGTTTATATTTACAACAGTAAAAACGCTTTCCTGTAGTTTAATCTATCATTATCTCTACTAGCTTTCGAATTAGTTTTCTCTTTGTGATCGTTGAACTATGAAATTAAATTATAAGTACATTTAATGTTTTCCTAATTCATTATTGCAAAGTATCGATTATAATTACCTTAAACAAGCATCTGTTATTTTGTTTCAGAACTGTTTACCTGTCCGATTTAAAGGAATTCATATATATAATGAGTCTATTATTTTCCAATATGGATGGTCTATGTTAAAACTTTTTCTCTCAGAAAAAATAAAGAACAGGGTATGTATATATGCTTTAGTATTACAAATAAATTTATATTTTACCAAACCAGGAGTTGAATACATTTTACCAAATTTGTATTTTACCAAACCAAAAGTACAGAGAGTCTTAATTTGAAAGAACAAAGAAAAATAAATTAATAAAAAGCACAGTATTAGTGGATAATTTTACAGGAAACGGGGGGAAAATGCTTATTTTCTTCTTCATGAACACGAACTTTGAGAACTGTCAATATGAACTTAAAACCAAGAGTGAAATGGGTGTGATGTATTATAGGATTCAAATTTTAATGCAGATTCGGTATAAAATATACATTATTAGCTTCTACTGAGATAAAATAGTGAAATTAAATTTAAATGACAAGTTTGGCGGTATGTTATTAAAAATAAATAATTAATTAATGTGTTATTATTAGTAAATAGTGTGCCTCAATTTATTCTTCAAAGAGTAATTATCAGATCTTCTCATAAAACTGTCTACGCCTATAACAGTTACAAAAGGCACTACAATTTCCATAAAAGCCTGAAATCCATAAATAATTTTTAAAATGATTTTTTAATTATTTTCTGTGCATACAGTACGACTTCTCCCATTTTACAGATGTTTTAGAAATAATATACTTTTAAAGCTCTACTTTAAACAGTTATAGAAAGGTTTTTCTTCTATTTACGAGGGTTTTCAAAAAATTAGTGATAAGCATTAGATCAATATCTGATTATTCCAATACAAATGCACATTCATTAGCAATGTAATTAAACTGTGCTGCATGAAACGAAACAAAATTATGTGACATTTTACCTACAACATTACAAGAAATTGTATTAACCTTTCGGAAATAAAATTGCTTTTAGAAATGAAATACCATAATCTGAGAGCAATAGTTTTGCATTTAACTTCTCGTCAGAAAAGTGTTGTGCTAGCACTGAATAGTAAAGATTTTTCAGCACATCGTATAGGTTGTATGCAATTAACTGTGGTGCGTTTTTCGACAAAATTCTGTCCAACTGGAACTGAAAGCGAAAAAATCAGCCGTTTTGAAAGCACTCTATATCATTACAGGATCTTTTTTCTATTCGTTTGGCTCTCAGAAAGAGGAATGTCAGTGGATTAATCAAGTGTCTTAGGCGGTTGCTCGCGGAAGGAGCTTTTCCGTACCGAAATATTAGGTCCCAGTACCTAAAATAGACGAAAGAGCGAGTGAAATGTAGTACTGAAACATGAAAAGTAATTGTTTTCTTCGATTACTCTAAATTTAACCTGAAAGGTCCAAATGATCAATGAGTAACCCGATGCAGATGTAATGAAGAATTTGATATTCATTATGTTATGCCTACAGAAAGGCATTCAGTATTCTAAATGGTTTTGAATTTCTTTTAATATTCGGAAATTGTTTACTTGAAATAATTAGTTGGCATGTAAACATCCATATTTTCAAGGACATTTTATGGCGTAAATTCTTATCTGCTGTTAAAGAGTAATTTGAACATCTACTGCATTTCCGCATAGCCCCGTGCCACGAAGCCAATCAGCAAGTAAAAACCGTATGATCATTAAACATCCATGACGATGCATTACGTGTTGTGCTTTTCATGCCTATTTACCATTAACTAAGTTTAAAAAAATAACAGGACGATAACATCTATACGCTGACATGGTCAAGTAATACGTAGATATAGGTTCTATAGAAAATACTCAAAGAATATGATGGTCCGGAGGTCTTGAAAAAGAAATCCCGGCACAGCTATTAGGAAGTACTCATTTCAGTTTAGTTACATTAAAATGCCCCACGAACATACTTTATCAATGCCACAACACTCTGCAACCGTCATCAAGGTCGGAAACAACCGCACCGTCTATTAACGCTAGGAAATGTTTAAACAAAGTACTAGATTTTCATTTTCTCATCTAATGTTTGTTGTTCAATGCCTCCTTTTTCAACACAGAAAGAGCGCTGACTGTGTGACCCCCCCACACACGTTGCGTTAACAATGGTTCTAATTAATTTATGCATTACATATATATATATATAACTGAAAGATCAAAAGTGGCGTGCTAGTTTTAATGATAACTTACAGCGGTTTACATAGGCGTTTTATATTTCAATTATTGTTTTCCGTCACACATACTGCATGCATAATATGATGCATTTTCCCCTCACCTCTGCATATGTAAATTGCGCATCACTCACTCTATAAAGTAATACTTAATACAGCGCACTGTTTCAAAAATGCAGATAAACGAAATTGATACTAAATTATACTTGAAAATATTTCTAGAGTGAATATGTATAATATGATTCAGTCTTACTTGGCAGCAGTCTGATTCTTCAAAATGTATACTAACAGCTCTCTTTACTTCTGGAATATCTATTTTATTCTGAAAATAGAATAAATAAAAATTGTATAAACTTCATAAAAATTTAGGTAAAATAAAATAAATGAAAAAATTATTCCCATTATTAACAATTTTTAAGCATTTTAAGAGTAAACATCATTACGAAAAAAAATTTCTAATATGAAATAAAAATTCTCCCCACATTTTTTTGTCTGACTACGGAGCTTAGGATATCTAGAGGGTATACTCGCCAGAGGAGCCGGCTGCAGTCAAAGCAAAATTTATAAGTTTTAGGTACATCTGAAAAGCAAATATATAAAAACATTTCCATATGAATGAAATCAGTTCGTCCTCTCGAAGCAACAACCAATTCGTAAATAAATTTTTGTTGCCAAACCATGAAGCAAAAACTTTTGACACTTCAGCTTAATGCATATGTTGTCATGATTTAAATTTAATGTAATATAGCAACTTTTTCTCAGTATCAATAAAATAATTAACGTGGCAATAACATATCGTGTCAATTTTCCTACATGAAACAAAAAAGTTGCCATCAGCAGCTAGTTGTTTAAAATGCTGCCATTAACGAAAAATTTTCGACATGTAATGACGTCACATGCAATTGCGTGCTTCCTTCAGTGTCAGAATATTACCAATCTTATATAATAAAGGAAAAACTGTGAAACATGTGAAAGTTTTCAGATTTTATATTACGCCCAAAGGGACTTTTTTTAGCCTTTTGTGTGTTACCTTTATTTATTAAACCAGCAGCTTTGCTGCCAGCCGTCGTCTGGGTTTTAAATGTACCGGAAAAATGGCTGAAGGAAACACCAAACGTTAAATATAAAAACTGCGTAGAATTTTACTCTGCAGAACAACTTCACAAAAAAAAAAAAAAAAAAAAAGTTATTACGTATAACAAAATTACATCCAAACAAAATATCCCTTAATACAAATATCAATTATCCTAATAAATAAATTAACCAACTTCCCTTTGCAAAATCTTAAGAACTCAAACGGAATAAAGGAGGTTAAGAACTTTGTTTCCTAAAAAAATCACTCAAAACTTTTCAATATCTTAAAAACAGTGAAATAAGCAAAAAATAACATGAAAGCAACTCAAAAAACATAAAATTCCGTGCAGAATTTTACTCTGCAGAACAACTTTATCAAAAAAAAATCAATAAAAATGTATTATATATATATATATATATATATATATATAATGTTGTATGATCTTAAATCCATTTAGTGCGAATACTAGTTATTATTACTTGCGCAATTGCTGCAAAGTTAGTTAATAATAATTTATTTCCTAAACAGTATTGATTAATTGATTATATTATCTCCTAAGTTTAATTAAAGTAGAATTATTTTAAAAGTGTGCATCCATACTGGTAAGTTATATTTTGAAAGATGTTTTTTTGAAGTAATTTGAAAGCAAATCAATGTTAATAACATGTTTTAACGGGGACTGGAGTTAAATCATCACAAAGAATAATATTTCAATTGTAAAAGAAAAAATTAAAACATGTATATGACAATGAAATATGTCAGTCTCTTAAAAACAGTGACATAAGAAATACGATGAAAAATTGTTACCAAACCCATATTTCTAAAAGAATGAAACTATTCAAAATGATGCGATTTCATCAAAAATCTATCAACAACAATAAGACAGGAAAATTGTTGCCAAAATCACATTTTTAAAGATGTGAGATGTGAGAAGTATACTCGGAAGCTTCATTTAAAAACTTTTTAAAAAATACAAAATATTATCGTTTTTTCAAAATTCTTTTTGTAAAAGCAGTCGCAAGGATAAAAGTTTAACGTGTCCAAAAATCAAAGAAAAATAAACTGTACATTTTTAAAAATAAACTTTTTTAAATATAACACAGGGCGATAACATTCGGTGGCAACAATTTGGAAAGTGATCCGACATTAATAATGCATCAACGCAGATTGCCAAAACGAAAATAACGCCGTGTGGGATAATAATAATGTTTAATGTTTCGCAAGCTATTTTCATTTTATATTTTGTAAAACTTATAAATTTTTGATTAACAAACTCTGCGACTCGAAAGCGAGCAATAGCAACACTTTTCGAAATAAGAGTTTTTATTTCCAACGCGCAAGATTGTTGCCACTCGGAAAAATGAGTGCGAAAATTATCGTTTTCAGAGTTTTAATGAATATCTCGGCTGATTAAAGTCGTATTGAAGAAGAGAATGGCCGAAATGGCTTCCCATGAATTTTTGGAATCCAGAGAAATATATTAAATATTAAAATGTATTAAATGTTAATAAATTAAATGTATGCGTAACAAACAACTTTAGAAAGGTCCATGGGGGGGGGGAGAAGAAAAAGAGGAAATTCCCAGTTTGAAACATGTGAAAGATAAAGGAAATATAAAAATATATTTACGCAATCAAAACAGAAAATAATGTGACATTTTCGAAATTAAATTTCATTGTATTTATACTAACTAACATTTTGACTTTTTTATAACGGAAAATATTCCATTAAAAATAAGTATTCATTGGTATAAAGAAGAAATTAGGCAATTACTTTGCAATGCTTTTGGAACCGATCGCAACCGCTCTTTCTAATTTCTGCTTTATAGTCGGTTTTAAACTTCTATTTCATTTCACTTCGTCTTTCGCAACATTTGAATGAAAAACCAATTAATATGTATAGAATGCTACTGACTGATGTTGTGCTGATAGAAAAATCGTAGTTTTGTTGGGCATCGTGTTATTTGCACGTTATTTTATCTGGTCATATCAGAAACTGTGATAGATCAAGCAGCATTGTATTAGGTCTGTATTATATATGTTATAATTTTTATTTTCAGATTCATTTACATGGAGATAGTCTTAAGAGTATGCATAAGTTCATTCCAAAGGCCATCTTACCATCGGAGTACGGAGGCAACTACGATAATTTCAATACTGACTTTTTCTTTCCGAAAGAAATTGAAAGCTATTACGAGCAATTCACCGAATTACTTAAATGCGGTTACCAGAAGTAGGAATCACAAGTAACTGCGTAATCTCTGACTAGTCGTTATGGATCATTCTTGATGATGTATTCCTACTTTTCAATTTAAAATTACGACGGTGGAATTGTTCAAGGCGTGCAGTGCCTTCAAGACACTGAACTGCGTGCAGAACGGTTCATTTTGATGATTATTTATTATTTATTCAACCTATGGCAATTTAGTTACAAACTGCGTTGTTTATTGTCACTATTATTTCAGAGAGCAGGAAATTTTCTTGCTTCGTTCGTGTTTCTGAATATCACAAAGAAAAATTGCTTAAAATGGGGTGCAATGCGATAAATCGCCTTACAAAGTGAAAGTGGAAGGACTTGCTAATGCCAATACTAATGTCAAATAAAGAACTTACGATTTTTGGCAACTATATTTGCGATTAGCAAAAAAAAAAAAAAAAAAAAAAAAAAAAAAGATCTTATCGGACTAAACAAAAAAACATGGACATCAATGTATGATGTGAATTATTTACATACTGATTTATTCCAATTTATCGAAGTCCCTTCCTGGAAATGTTACGCTCGTGTTTGCTATTGTACTTTCAGAATTTCTAAAACTTCAAACTTCAGATCCGATGCGATAAGGAATTTGATAGTTTTTTGAACTTTTTGCAAAAGAAAATGTTGCATCTACCAGCTGGAATTTATTATTATGTAAAAGCTCAATTTTTATATAATGTATTTCGATGATTTTATGTATTTATTATGAAGAACTGGAAATAAATAAATTTGTATTTCCCATATTTTAGATATTCTATATAAAATCTGATAGTTCTTTCTAAAATGAATGTACATTTACAGATAATTCACCAATAATATTAATAATAATAATAAATGCTAGTGTTATGTGTGTTCTAACAACAGGTATACCTTTCCTAACTTTCCGAATTTAAAGAAAACATAAATACAAATGAACAACATAAATAAATACAATTCCTTTGAAAATTGATTCAAAAACACCTAAGCGTTATCTATCTGTTTCTTCTTATCTGTTTTGAAAACATGTAAGTGTCCTGAGCAGAACAGTGAGTTTACCTAAACTAGTTGTTAAACCTTTGCGGCACAGAGTGTCCGGTCTGGACACACCTAAAAATTTCCTTCTGTAGGCACAGAAAATTGAATGAAAAAAGATTTATAGGTTACTCTGAACCTTCTTTATTTATAGTAGATGGTAGCTCAATACAAACCAATCCATATATTTTAGTCATGTTTAGTTTTTTAAGACCCTCACTTTTCAAAGAAATCTTTAAGATTTTTTTTAGGGTATAAAAGGAATTGTTTGAAAAGAAACTTCTATGTTTTTTGGCTGTATGCTACTTTCCTTATTCTATATTAGTTTCATATTTTTACCTTGAAATCTTGCCTAAAATCAAACGGCGAACCCTAGGTGTGCTCAGACCGGGCTCACCGATAATCTAGGACAACTGAGAGTCTGTATTCTTTGTTTCTCCGCATCTCATCCGTCAGTTCATTGACAATTGACAACAATGCTTGTTTCTGCACACTTTTCGAAGCTCTATTCAATCAGTGTGCCCACTTTAGGCACACCCACAGATTTAAAACGATAAGTGCTATCTTCACAAAATTTTACTTGTGTACTCCTCTAGGCCTAATTAGACTGCCAACCTTTATTTTTTTAAAAAAATGAAAATTCCGACTTTAAAAGGTAGCGTGCCGGAAAGGGTTAAACTGTAGAAGAGATGACAAGAAAAGAAAGAGTTTAACTACCCTTTATTCTTCACGATTCACAGGTGCTTCCGCATTTCGGGAAACAAAGACCACCACTTATGGTCTGAACGTAAGAAAATGAGAACTACTAACTAACTAAATTTAAATAAGAGCTAAACTCGAATACTTTACATAGACTAATAACACTAAGATTGGCCTTTTAGATTTTTACGTATATAGTACGCAAACAGCGGGAAAACTACAATAGGTCTTCAATATCAGACTCTGGGCTTTAAAGGCGGACAAAATTGATTTCAAATACGCGTGAAGTAAAGTGGCGAGAAGTCTCTTTTTCTCCCTCTCTCTGAAACTCTTCTTGGCAAAAAGCCACAACCTTAATACTTCAGAGTTTGCAAGCACAATTTGCACAAACGGACTAACTCGTTTATTCTGGCCGGAAGTGGAAAATAAGAGAGGATAGTAAAGTTTTAGAATAAAATAAACGTTAGTAAAACTTAAGATCCTTATAGCGTCTTTGAATGTGAGCACATGAATATTTATTAGCATCGCATCGTATCATAAATCGCATAAACATTTTCTAGATGCATACAGTTTGCAGAATAGACAGTGAATTCGATACTTTTTAGCACTGTCATTCATCTTTGAAAAGTGTTTCTTCTACAGAACCTAGCTATCGCTAGCCGGTATCAAATAAATCTCACATTAGATTCGTTCATTATTTATTTGACTCGGAATGGACAAATAAGAGAATATTTTATTTGACTCTAAACAATGAGCAACATGATGATCATTTGCAAAAATAGGAAATACATATAAAACTTAAGCTGATACATTGGATGAAACAGGCAGATCTAGGGAAATTTTTATTTTAGTCAGACTAGCACTGCAAGTGGTTGCTGAATTATTATGCATTCAATTTACGAATCAGATTAATACAGTTTTAGGTTCAAACATACATAGTATATACAAGAAAGTTCGGGGCCCTCTGAAAAATAATAAAGCTTTTTCCAAGAGCTTGAGAAATTATGCAGTATAATAACTATTCTTTTACAGATAAAATAATTAGCGGGCGAATAAATGATAGATTTATAAATTATTTACACTAGTTAGTTTTTTAAGTTAATTTTATATAATTTTTATTTGTCAAATATTTTCCCTAAATTTTTCATTTTCTTGATAAGTAATTCTTGCAAATTTAGTCCAATCTAAGACAAAGACGTGCTTTTATATTAAAAAAACAAAGCTAAGAAAATGTGACAATTTACTCTAAAAAAATTCTTTTTCTTCGTAAGCCCCCCCCCAAAAAAAAATGTTTTTATTTATTAGCTATTTGTATTTCTACTTCATTAATAATAGGTATCATTTAAATAGTATTTGTAATTTAATAAGAAATTAATATTCATGATGTTTCTAATGTTTTGAATGCGATTTTTGGAGAAAAACTCAATATGATGTTTTCATTTAATGATATAAATTCTAAGAAATCATTCATTATGACTAAGGAGATATCGAATACAAAGTATCACAAAGATGCCAAAATAGTACAAATTAAAATTCCGATACATTATCTGTACAGTATAAATCATTACGCTAGAATTTATAGCAAAATAATAATAATAATAATCTTTCAACACGGAAAAATTCAATATGACTTTGTGGATTTTATTTCTAATGTCAGAAAATAAAAGGCTTGACACCTAATTATTGTTTTTTCTGCTTTTGTACTGGTTTGCTTTTAGTAGTTTTTCAAAGTTTTAGAAGTTGGGAAATTGAATAAATCCACAGTACCCTAGCCGGAATTCGAACTCAGGACCTCCCGAATACGCGTAGAGTGTGTGTGTGTATGATTATGGCAAAGCCTCGAGGGCTATCTGCCTAAGGGGAGGGATGCCTTCGTGGAGGACTTTCTAAGGGAAACTGGCTCGTATACACGTTACACATGGGGAAAACCACGAAAACGCCCATGCAGCCAGCCCGTTCGCGGGATTCGAACCTCGGACCGAACTACCAGTGTTCAGCGACTTTACCGCTCGGCCGCTGGTGGGCGAATACGCGTAGAGAGAGAGTACTTCCGTCACGGAAGGCACAAGGAGAAAAGAGGGAGAAAAATCACCTTATGTACGTACTCCCGCTTTCTAGGGCGACTGGAGATTAGGAGATCCAGTTCGCCAAATTCTGGTGGCGACGAATTATCGTTCATCACCTCTTAGTTCGGACGACACTTGTAGTCTATTTTTAGAATTTTTCGAAGTCAGGAAAATAAAGAAATCCGCAATGCCCTCTCCGGTATTGGAACTCTTGACTTCCCGAATACGCGTCGAGCGTGCCATGGAGGCATGCGGAAAGGAGGGAGAAAATACCTTAAATATTTCTTGCGTGTGTTAAAAAAAAAAAAAAAAAAAATCGTTTTTTTTTTGGGGGGGGGGGATTAGTGGCCAAAAAATTAAAATTTTTATTTTTAAAGTTGTAAAGATTAAAGTTTACCCTTGTCAATATTATGATTCAGATAACGAATGAGGAAATTTCCAATGTTGCATAATTATAAACTATTTAATGTGATCATTTTTATTCAAGTTTTGTTTTCGGAAAAAATTTATTCAGTTCATACTATTACAAATCTTTAATCCTTCCAAAGTAAAACGTAAAGAACAGTTTGGTTTAAGATTATGTAAAAGCCATAATCTTCTTCTGGAGGAGCCATAAGAATATTCCCAATACATTAAACGAATGAGCCTAGCCCAGTGACTACATCAAAATTATAAGCTCCATTCATTTTTGCTATCATTCAAAAATAAATAAATAAATAAATAAATAAAAAATTCCTTATTTTAAACACAAACTTGAAAGATAAAATCAAACAAGAAAGATATATATCTTGTTTTATTTGGTTTCTTGATAAATCAGTTATAAACTTCACAATGATATAATAAAAACAAACTGTCACTGTCAATATCTGACATTTTAAATAGCGGTTTGCTTAATATTGAATTCATGTCACAAAGATCTTCTCAAGGAAGTGTTAGAAGTCGAGGAAAAGTTATTCTGAAACCTTTGTTTCAAATTTGAATTTTATCCTTTACGTACATTTAAAATCAAGAAAAACAATACTAAATACAACCTTTTAATAGCCTTTTAAACACTGTTTATACCTATAGAATATTTTACTATCAGCTGGATTTACATGACCTTACCGAAAGGTACAATTTCTTGATTTTAATCAGATGATGAAAAATAATTTTAACCCTCCAATTACGAGTATATTAGTCAATGACTGATTTTAAAATATGACATTTTTTATATTATGTATTACTGTCATTGATAATTGCATTTGCCATTAAATGTGGAGTTTTGAGTATTTTAAAATTAATATACTAATACGAGTAATCTTACTTCCGTCTGCAGTTTGGTACAAAACGAGCATAGCAGACATTGTAGAATATGTATATCAAAATTTAAATGTTTTTTTCTTTCTTAATATAGAGGATATCCGTAATAAATGAGGAGAGGCCGGTTGGTATAACATATTTAACGGAAAATCCCAAGTCAGATATCTTTTCATTAAAAACAGAAATAGCTCATTTTTTATATTCTTTTATCTCGATAATAACGCATTTTTTGGGAAGTAAATAGCAAACTCTCCCTTTTCAACTTTTATCTTCAATTAAAAACCATTAAAAAAATAATTTTCATGCGTAAAAAAAAAAAAAAAAAAAAAAAAAAAAAAAAAAAAAAAAAAATTT